AAAAGCATGTGTCTGACTGTGTAAAACTTGTAATGTAACACTTGATTGTCGGCGTATGACAGTGTCGCTATGCTTGCATGCCCCCGACCGGTGGAGCTTTGGTGACGTCGCTACGATGTTAGTCTCTGATTGGCGGAGTGTTTCTTCTTTCGCTTATATACAGGCTCAATTGGCCGAGTTCGGTCGATATATGCTTGCATACCCCCGGTCGGTGGAGCTTTGGTGACGTCGCTACGATGTTAGTCTCTGATTGGCGGAGTGTTTCTTCTTTTGCTTATATGCAGGCTCTGATTGGTGAAGATCGATCGACGATTGTTATGTACAGCCTCCGGTTGGTGGAGTTTAACAAAGTTTGCTATGTACAGCCTCCGGTTGGAGGAGTTTGACGATGTTTGCTATGTACAGCCTCCGGTTGGCGGAGTTTGAGTGACATTTGTTATGTACAACCCCAGACTTGTGAAGTTTGGCGTTGTCATACGGTGGTCTCCGATTGGTGGAGTTGTTGATGAGGTTAGTTTATAAGCTCCAGTTTGTGGATTTATTTTGACAAAAAGCTAACTAACCTATTTTCCTATGAGGGACCTCTTTTTTTCAGCATTTGATCCAAATCTTGAGCGTACCTGCCATGGGCATGGTTGTACATGTGGAAATGGAGCACCTAGCTAGAACAAGATCAGATCATGCCCCATTATTACTCTATTTGGGTGGACAACAACCTCATATTAGAAAACCATTCAAAATCTTGAAAATTTGGGTGGAAGAGGCTGACATTAAGGATGTGGTGAAAAGAAGTTGGGTTGCTCAGGAGAATTCAGATATCTTTATTACTATTAAGCAGAAAATGAAGAATACTAAGTATGCTCTTGCTTGTTCTGCAAAGAAAGATTTGGAGATATATTCAAACAACTGATCTTTAGAGAGAAGATTGTGAGGCTCAAAGAAGAATTTTTTGAAGAAAATCCTACTGTAAGCAATAGAATTGTTCTTCAGAGTGCTCAGGCTGAATTGAAGAGATATTTACACTTTAAAGAGGAGTTTTGGAGACAAAAGGCAGGGATTCAGTGGTTCTCGGAAGGAGACAGAAATACTAGATTTTTCCATAGTCTAGTAAAAGGGAGGAGAAAGAGACTTTCGCTTTCAAGAATCATCAAAGAAGATGGGCAATGGGCAGAAGAGAATGAGCAGGTGGCCGTTGAGGCTGTTTTTTTTTTTCAGAAGCAATTTTCTAGTGAAAATGTCCCTGCAGACTTGTCTCTTCTTAATCATGTGCCTACGCTAGTTACTGAGGAGATGAATAGGGGTATTACAAAGGCACCATTAGAAAAGGAAGTGAAGAGGGTAATTTTTGAATTGAATGGAGAAAGTGCTAGTGGCCCGGATGGGTTAACAAGTATAATTTTCCAAAGCTGCTGGGATATTGTTAGTGGAGATATTGTAAAAATGATCATGGCTTTCTTTGCAGGAAACACTTTACCTAAATCTATTACACATACTAATTTGGTCTTATTGCCAAAAAAAAAAGAATTTGTTCAGTCATTCTCTAACATGAGGCCAATTAGTTTAAGTAATTTTCTTAATAAGGTAATATCAAGATTGATTCATGATAGGCTTGAGGCATATCTCCCTATTCTAGTGTTTAAAAATCAGTCTGGGTTTGTGAAAGGTAGAAATATCACAGAAAATATCTTATTGGCCCAAGAAATCATTACAGATATGAAAAAAGAGGCAAACCTGCTAATGTGGTAATTAAGCTGGATATGGCCAAAGCTTATGATAGAGTGGATTGAAAGTATTTGATAAAGGTGCTGGAAAAAATGGGATTTGATAATAGAGTGGTAGATATGATTTGGAGATTATTGGCTAATAATTGGTAGTCTATTCTTATAAATGGGCAATCCTATGGTTTCTTTCATTCTACTAGGGGTGTGAAACAAGGAGACCCTTTGTCTCCTGCTCTGTTTATTTTATCTACAGAAGTGTTGGCTAGAGCCCTAAACTATTTATTTGAGAATAAGGACTTCAAGAGATTTGGGATGCCAAAATGGAGTGATAACATTAATCATTTGTCATATGCAGATGATACTATCTTATTTGTTTCTGCAGATAAGAAGTCTTTGAGGTTAGTGATGCAAACTTTGGAGGAGTATGAGCAACCGTCAAGGCAGAAGATCAATAAGGAGAATAGTTTATTTTATGTGCATGATAACTGTGATCTAGGAGGTGGAACGTTGTATAGGATTCCCCAGAGGAAAATTTCCTTTGATGTACTTAGGGTGTCCAATTGGACATGCCAGACTGAGAAAGAATCACTATTCAGATCTCAATAAAAAGGTACATAACAAATTGCAAACCTGGAAAGGGAAGATCCATTCTTTTGGAGGTAAATCTGTATTAGTAAATAATGTTCTGAATAGCATCCCTATATATCTATTGTCTGCTATAAATCCTCCTAAATGTGTGATTCATGAGTTAGATAGAATGTTTGCAAGATTTCTATGGAATTTCAAGGAGGTGGGCAGAAACAAACATTGGGTTGCTTGGGATGTTATTTGCAGGCCTAAAGAAGAAGGTGGTCTAGGCTTTAGATCACTGTTTGATATTTCAAAAGCATTACATGCTAAACTATGGTGGATATTTAGGACTCAAAAGTCAATGTGGACTATCTTTATGTGGAATAAGTATTGCAAAAGGTATCCTTCTCAGGTGGTAGAATGGAAAGGGGGTTATCAGACGTGGAAGTATATGATTGAAGCCAGAAATTATGTTGATAAAAAAATTTGGTGGGAGCCAAAGTGTGGGAATGCTAACATTTGGTATGACAACTGGACTAAGTTTGGAGCTCTACAATATTATCTCCCAGTGACTAACAGAAGATCTCACCAGTTTGAAGATGTCAATCAATTAGTCAATAATGGGAGGTAGAATCCTAATGTACTAAATATGCTATTTCCAGAGGAGGTTAGTAATCACATCCAGCATAATCTTATGGTTGAAGAAGGGTCAACAAAATGGGACAAACCCTGGTGGATGCTTAATCCTTCTGGGAAATTCACAGTCAAGTCTGCTTGGGAAATACCAAGACAACCAGGTGATGTTCTACGGGATTACAAGAAGTTGTGGATAAAAGGAATGCCTTTCAAAGTGTCCTTCTTGGTTTGGAGGTTCTGGATTAAGAGAATTCCTATTGGGGAAGTGCTTGTAAGAAGCCAGATATGTGATGAACTAATTTGTAAATGTTGTGTTGAAAATGAGAGGGAAACAATTGAACATTTATTTATTAAATGTCCAATTGCTAATAGGCTATGGGGTAATTTTGCAGCTGCAGGGGGGGGATAAATGGTCCTTTTTTACAATTAAGGGATTCTGTAATGAAATGGTGGAATGCAGAAAGAACACCTAAGTTGCAAATACTCTTCAATGCAGTGCCTTTATTTATAATATGGCAGATTTGGAAGAGGAGAAACACCATTAATCATGGAGGAAGAATGTCATATGTGGGCATAGAATTAGAAATAACAGAAATTTGTTTCTGTTAGCCAAGTATAACTACCCCTGGCTCAAAAACTTACCAACATCTTGGCCTGGGTTAGTAAGATTTTTGGAGGAGTACATTCCCACCCTTGGTTGCAGAACAGTAGTGTGGAAGCTTCCAGAGATGGGGTCCTTTAAATGCAATTCTGATGGAGCTTCGAAGGGAAATCCAGGCCCAAGTTCTGGGGCTTTTTGTATCAGGAATGGAGAAGGGAACTTAATTTATGCTGAAGTAAGGAGATTATTTGATGGTTCGAATCTAGTGGCAGAAGTGATGGCTTTAAGATTGGGGTTGGAGTATTGTGTACAACACAATCTTCTCCATGTTACACTTGAAACTGATTCTCTATCTTTTAAGAATATTCTGGATGGAAGCTGGTAAATCCCTTGGGGCATAGTGATGGAAGTCAAGAGGATCAAGATGCTTATGAAGGACAAGGAAGTGACAGTGGAACATACACTCAGAGAAGGAAATCAGTTGGCTGATTTTTTTACTAATGACATTTTTTGTTTTGCAGGGACTCAAATACTAACATATTCAAATATTCAAGATATACCAAGGGAAGCTAGAGGCATCATCAATACAGAAAAAGCAAAACTTCCTAATCTCAGGATAAGAAGATATCAAAATTGAGATTTTTGTTAATTAGGGTCATACAACGAAGATAGCAATAAAATAGGTCATATCGCAGACTCGGGAACTTACAAACAGATGCAACAATGACAAGTATGAAGAGCATTTACAGATAAATAAAGTACGTATTTTTCTTGAACTTCAAGCAGTGGTATCAGCTTTAAGCTCAATTTGCTGAGGGTCGAGGAAGATGGCGAAACATTGTTCTGTAATAGCAGGTAGATAAGGGCATGACAACAATAAAAGTGAAATCACATAAAGGGATATGGATCGTGAAGAACTCAATATTACCAAGTGATTTCTTTTAGGAATTTGCAGACTATGGTGAGGCTTGAGTCCATATGAAGTCGACTATCAAAAGGGATAGGAAGATGGTTTATACATCAAAAGCTTTAAAATCATCAGGAACTCACCAGATCTGTCGTTGTAGAGAAGAAGAAGTCTTCATTAAGATTGTTTTCATGGCATTCGTGAGACTTGGAATGTCTTAGGTGTAAAGACCTTAAGCGCAACAACTTTCAATGACTGGAGCGGAGTTGGATGCTGATTTGGAAGCTCATGATATCTCTCTTTCGTTGCTGCTCTCTAACTATGGTTGATAGAGTTGTGATGAAGGAGATGAAGCATTTTTGTTCCCCTTTTTGGTTATCTTTGAGGTCCGGACATGGCAGGTCCTGGAACTGATATTTCCTTTTTTTTTTTTTTTTTTTCTTGTTTGTTTGTTTTTGGGCCTGGGTCGGTTCAAGTCCTGGACCTTTTTATTTATGAAATAAAGACCTTTATGGTCTACTTACAGTAAAAAAAAAAAAAAAAGCAGAAAAGGATAAGTATCACATCACTTGCTACCCACCACAAGTAAAGCGATACCAAAACTCATTTAGAAATCATGGAGCTAACAGCCGATGAGCTCAAGGCATATGACGGATCAGATCCATCAAAGCCAATTTACGTGGCAATCAAAGGTCGAATCTTCGATGTGAGTGCCGGTAATTCGTTCTATGGTCCCGGTGGGCCTTACTGTATGTTCGCCGGAAAAGATGCAAGCAGAGCACTTGCAAAGATGAGCAAGAACGAAGAAGATGTTTCTCCATCTCTTGATGGGTTATCTGAGAAAGAAATGGGTGTTCTCAATGATTGGGAGACCAAATTCGAAGCTAAGTATTCAATTGTTGGAACTGTGATTTCTTAATTACTTTTGGATCTGGGAATTATGAATAAATATAGGGTTTTCTTATGAATGAATGAATGAATGTACTGCGTATTTCTCATGGATCTGTTTGTGTAAAGACAAAATTAACGTGTGCAATTAAGAATAAATTTTACCCTTTAAAGTGCTGTTTGTTTGTATCATACTGAATAATGCATAGTGTATTTGGTAATCTATTGATGTTTGGGATTGTTTGCAATTTGTATTTGAAGTACCAACTGATTTATCTATGATGTGATTGCTTAATTATTAGTATTTTTTGTTGGTTAATTGCTAATCTCCATTTCACATTCTGTAAACATCCCTCATTTATACCTTAGTTAAACTTAAACTACATCCTTGCACAAGTATGTAATTAACAAAAAAAAAAAAAAAAACATCCCTACTTTTTCTTTGTTTTCACTCCCTCTAGGATCTCCCACACTCGAACTCGCAACTTTTGGGTTGAAAGTAAGGTCCGAACAACTCTCTCGTCAAAAACATCCCTTCACTGTCCTCAAAAGTTGCAACTTTTGTTCGACTCCTTTAAGAAACTAACGGTTTTCAACCAAAATGTGTTACATCTGTTCTTCAGCTCAGCCATGAATCAATGCATTGCTGGATCTTACAAATTATGTTGCGATTTTGTGATCTGCAAAAAAGATGCAAGATGGATCAAATCATGTTATATAGGAGGGAGTTAGTCTAATAGTAACGTCATTGAGATAGATATTTTTTTTTTACTAGGGAACTTACCGTCACTATCTTTGGGTTTGGGCTCATGTGTGTATAGAATAACTCATGCTTCAATGTAATAAATAGCTCGCAAACCACACTAACAAGGTAAAATTGGACAAGTCTCATATGACGAGCTCAATCAAAAAGGCATGTAAGAGAATTTTAAATTAATGATCTACATTTGGGATATTATCTTCTCTGCCACTTGCCGATATCATTGAAAAATATATCATTAACTTGAAATTTTGAACGTCAAATCACCAATCACCATAGTTGCTTTATGAATAATTCCATAATCAAAAAGCACATGTGAGGTCTCCATTAAATAAAAACGAATGTTACATACCATCAATATACATATTAATGCAAGTCATTCTATGAGCCGTTGAATTTGGTGATAGTTGAAACTTTTCATTTCTTTATTGAATTCTTAAATGCATTAAAACATAATATTTTTTTTTTTTTCTTATCTGGTCAAGGTGCGTGCAATCTAATTGATGACACACATAATTTCACATCATTTTTTTAATTTTATTTTTTATGACAAGGGAAACCCACAGCCACTACCCTTTGGGTGCGCACAGGGTAAAACCCCCGCTTCTATGCAATAACTCGCAAATCACATAGGAGAGGTAACACGCACTAGGCAAGCCCGGTGCGACGAGCTCGATCCAGAAGGCAAACCCCTTGCTTTCGCTGGCAAGGGGTTTCGAACTTGAGACCTCCAACATGGAAGTCCCAAGCCCAAACCACTGGGCCACCCCGAAGGATAATTTCACATCATTTTTTAATGACACATAAGAAATTAAATATTAAAAAAATCAAATATGTTACTCTTACAAATTTTAAGAATTCTCAAAGAGTCATGTTATTCATATTTACTCACAACTTGAGCATCAAATTAATGCCAAATGATGAAATTATTCCCCATTTGAATTGAAATTTCAACTACAAGTTCATTCAAAACAAATGAGTCTCAATCACAATTTTGATTAATTTCACAAATTCACAATACCCATTTGTTGCTCTTCAAGCATATCAATGGAGTTTTTAAAATTTTAATACCCACCATCACCCTATATGTTAACTCATACCCACACATTCTCTTTGAACCCAACTAACACAAATAAGTTTCAATATTTTAGAATCTAAATAACTAAAAAATTTGAAGGGTGGGGGGCAAAACGAAAGGATTAGGGATGGAGTGTTTGATTTGCTTTAGAAGAGGAGATTGGGCTAAGAAAAAGAGAGGGTGTGGTGGGTGACTTCGAAGAAAAAGAAGAGAATGGATGGAGAAGAAGAAAGTTGAGGGATAGGGGGGAGGGGAGAGATTTTGGTTTTCCATTCGAACTTGCATTAGAGTTCCGAATAAGTTTGAATCCCGTATTGAAATAGAAATAGCTTTTTTAAATTAAAAAAATTGTTTCTTAAAAATTCAATGTGTTTTTTAAAATATAAAATATCATATTTACTCGCTTCTAAACACGTGCAATCAAGCATTTTTCCAACTAAGCAACATTATTGTCGCATAGGTTTAGTTAATGGTTAGTGGGATTTAAAATAGTGTTGTAATGAATTTAAGGATTCAGTTGGCAAAGTGATTAGCAGAAGGGTCCGTCTTGCTGACAAACGGATTAAAAACTGCAAATTTTATGAAAATTACGTCAGCTACATTTTGCTTTCCATTATCCTAAAATGACCAAGAATTATGCAAAAGGTATCACTGGACTTCCATTACCTCTTCTCCTCTTTGTTGTTCCTTTTATTGATACGAAAGGGCTTAACAGGTAGATCTTCAAATTGTATATAAGAATATAATCACGGCAAGGACAAAATCATGTTCCACTAATTTAATCACTTCATCAACAACTATTTCCATCTTTAAGAAACTGAAGTTCTCCAAGATTTACACTCTCTAGTCCAATAGTAGTGTACATATCCTGTAAAGGATTTTGCCCACTCCATGTATATAATAGCTGAATTACGTCAGCAAGAATGTCAATACTACCTGAGCCAGAAACAGCATGTTTCCATTTCGAATCATGGAATGCTCCAATAGAAACAAATGGAAAGTTGTCACCCAGCAAGATGGAATGGAATAACATCATTCCTGTTCAAGCCAATGAGCACACCTTGTCTGGAAAACAGAGAGTTCTGAGATTTTAACACATTGAATACAATGGCCAACATTCCATAATATAAATAACTCAATCTAGCAAAAGAAGAATTTATACAAAAGAGATGGGGAAAGAAATAATTTTGGTCTCAATCTCTTCTCATAGGATCCTTTTACTATCCCTATACATAGAACTAGTCATTGTCAAGGCTCCTCACTTTCTACTTTTGTGATTGTTTCTATATTCCCTCAATTGTATCTACCGTTTCATGTACACTCAGTCAACAAAAACATTGTCAAGAATACTCTCTAACGATCAAGAGCCAAAATACTTAAACTTGATTCATATCAGCACAAAAAAGACCAACTGTTTACCTTGGCTGGTGGTGGTGCTACAGCATAGGCGGCTGTCATCTGTGTAAGTTGTCTGAAGACCCATCATCCATGATCCAATAGATATATCCTCGTGTGCATAGCTCTTCAATGAAGCACTGCATAACAGAAAAATTGAACACTTATAAACAGATACAAGACACTAGAACTAGTCAGTTTTTGTCAACCTAACACATCAAAAGGAACAACCCAGCCAAGAATTTCCGTATAGAGGAATGTTCTCTTAGGTAATTTAGAAGTCTCGGCCAAGCCTTTCCACTATTACTAGACACCTATCAAATATTCAAAGTCTTACTATTGGGTCTTGTACAATTTGAGTTCTTAAAATCTTCTTCAGTGTTTACTGTTATCAATCTATAGTTAATTTTTGTTTTGGTAAGTATCTACAGTAATGCAATAATGACAAATTTAAGGGCATTTTTTACTTTTCTTGTGCTGGTGGACTAAAATACTATTTTTCTGTCTTTCGCTGTAGTTTAACCTTTTTTCTTAAATATAGAGACTGAAAAGCTACTTTAGGCCCTTCTAAAGGTATTCTAGGTAAGCCTAAGCTTTTCCAATAGAAGGTTTCATCTTTTTTGGAACATTGGTAAAGTTGTATTCTTTAACATCCAAGGACAAGCTGGCCACCTTAAAAGATTTACAGCCCTAACCAAAATTATAAGCTCTCTATTAATTCTATAGATTGATCCACATCTTCTATACAGAGTTGTTTACACCAAAAAAGTACGGATACTACACAATTCCACTTTACTTTGTGAATGGAATTAGTTCTATCTTCAAAACATCTCCCATTTCTTTCCTTTAATGCTGACCACCATATGCATGAGGGTATCAGCTTCCACCACTTCTTTCGAGTTTTGCTACCCACCCACCCACCCACCCCCCACCCCCCTCTGATCCATCAACTAAAGCGGACAGAAGTGTATTCAGGCATAGTCCAGCTGGAGCCTGTGATGTTGAGGACAAGCTTCCAGATCTGCGTAAAGAATTTGCAGTGTAGGAATAAATCTTTTGTTTCCCCAAGTCAAATTGCATAGGAAACATCCAAGGACTAGTTGCAGTCCCTTCTTCTGTAGGCCTTCTTGAGTTGAGCAGGCTCTTTTGATGACTAACTAAGTGAAGCATTTCACTTTGGTGGGGTTCAGTCCTCTCCAAATACTCTTCCAGTGATGATGGTAGCCTCCAACCCCGACTTGTATTCCTTTCTTGTAGCATTGTTTACTGTGAAGTTACCATCCTTGTGTGCTTCCATATAACTTTATCTGGTGCATTTGTGACTAGTTTGGTTCCCCCCAATTTTTCAGTGTAGAGAAGCTACACTATACACTTCCCAATCATTCAATAGTCTCCTGCCTTGAGTTGTCAAGCATTCATATACTCTGGCTTCAGTATTGTTGCAGATTGAATAAAGATCTGGCAATAACTCACTAAGAGGAATTTGATCAATCCATCCATCTCTCCGGAACTTATTCTTGTTGCCATTTCCAACTTTGAGAAGCACATTTTCTTCCATAGAGTTCCATAAAGCTCTGATTGTCCCCCATACTCCCCATCCATAGGGTTCTGAAACTACCTCTGAACACCATGGGTTTAATTACCCATACTTTGCCACTATCACCTCCTTCCATAGTGTTCTTCCTCACTAGTATACCTCCACAACCACTTCATTAAAAGGATGTTGTTTAGGATTCCCAAATTTCTAATATCCAGTGCCCCTCTTTCCTTGCTCAGCATCACAGTATTCCATTTCACTAGACAGTAGCCCTTGCACTATACCTCTTTCTCTCCTTTCCAGAGGAAGGTTCTTCCAAGTTTGTCTAGTTTTTTGACAACTTTTGGAGGAATCGGAAATAGTGACATAACATAAGTAGGCAGTGAATCTAAAAAAGAGTTTATCAAGATCACTCTACCCCCCAAGGATAGATATTGAGTCTTCCATCTTGACAACTTTCTCTCTGCATTTTCTAGAATTCCATCCCATATCTCCAAAGCTTCATGTTTTCTCCCTAGTGGCATTGGTTGTTGGCAATTTCTCTACTTTATACCCCAGAATGCTTTCCAATCCTTGAATCTGAGGCCCCTCCTTGACTAGGATCAGGCTGCTTTTTCCCCAATTGACCCTTAAACCTGAAACTGCTTCAAATAAGATCAGAATAAGATCAGAATCAATCTGATGTAATTCAGTTGTTCACCTTCTGGCTCACATAGGATGATAGTATCATCTGCATATATCAAATGACTAAACTTCTTTGTACTCCCTATTTTGTCTCCTACCCTAATAACAAATTCGGCGAATTAATTGGTAGCTGCCACTGAAACACATAAGCATTCAGGCAAAATCAAAGCAGGCTGTACATGTATGGCCAACCTTTTTTTTTCAAGAAACTATAGCTAACCTGTTTATGTTAATATACTGAGCCAAATTTTTAGAAAGCACCAGAACTGAACCGGCAGCATGTCGGAAGTACCTGAAAAGAAATTCATGTCAATTTAGAGTAGAGAGGAGTGACAGGAACCAAGAAATTCGGCAAGGTACATTGGCAATGTGGAAAATGGGAAATTGGCCCAAACCACCAGTTGAGAGTTTCATTTGGAAAGAGGAATATAATCATTCTAATTAGCATGCACACAAAAAACACCCAAAAGCACAGCAACTACAGGACAACTAAGGAAAATTCAAATAGCAGCTGAAAAACAATTAAGCAGCTGAAAAACATTAACATGTTGTTTTTTAGGTGTAAAGAAGATGGTATAGAAGAAGTAGAACAGTTGGTAGATTTCCTAGGATCTATGTAATTATGGTTTTAGCTTGTAACTTTTTGGAGGTAGCCAGCATACCCTTAATGCTGAAGAATACAACTTTAACTTTATCAAAAAAAAAAACAATTAAGTATGCTGCCAAATTTGGAAATGTTAATGTTAACCCTATTCAATTGAGGACTAATTTAACAAAATAATGTAACTAGATGTCAGGTATGAATTATGATAAATTAGTTTTTTTTATGAGCAGCTCCAAGTTTCTAGATCTGCCACTTCATAGGAAGATAGGTAGAAAGATTAAGTTTACTAAAACAATATCCGGAAAACCTTGTACATTGGCTAGATAGATACATGATACATCCATGACACTTGAAATATTAATTCAACCAAATGAAAATCATTCCAATCAAAACATCTAACAACTAAAATTACTATGCATAATTTGTGATGTGAGAGGATATAAACCTGGTTTATTCCTCCCCATAAACAGACTTAAAGTCATTTGGACCCTATAAGCATAAGCTAATATAAAGGCCAGAGTACCATATACAGCAATAAGGATGCATCAGCTTCCTAGGACTCAGTAATACTTACGACTTCTCATCTCCAAATTTCCACCATTCTGGCTCGTACCATGACTTTCCCCTGGAAAAGGTGAAACTTTAATGCTTAATGTATTGCATACATGATATTAAGCTGAGCAAAATCTGAAAGACAATCTTACTCTTCCGAAACTACTTCTCCAGATTTCATGCATCCAATGTAAGAACTATCTTGACCATGACGCTTTTGGAGGAGCTCAATCAACCCATCTGATAGAATAAAGTTAAAAAATATATTAGAAAAGCTCAAATATAGGGGCAATTAAACGTAATTCTAGAGGAAAGATAAGCACGGATTTTACCAAGGTCAACATCAATGTTGTCATCAACTTTCACATAAAACTCTGCATCCCAAGTTTGTATTGCTGAGCTAAAGAAATATTTAGCCTTTTTGGGCAGTTCCTCGTGAGCTTCCTCATGACTTCCCTTTTAATAATTGGAAAAACATAGTTAAGCAAAAGTAAGCTGCATATGGAACAAGTTGACATGACAGTAAAAATAATTAGGAGAATGTGTACAGACTAAGCTCTAATGATCATTTACACACATGACTTAAATTATTTACATGACCTTTCTGCAACCAACATGTCTATGCATCAACTATTTGGGTGGAGCCCAAGTAAAATTATGCCACAAAAAGATACAGATAGGTTAGACAAAAATGAATACTAACAAACTTACTAGAATCAAGAAATCTTTTGTCGCCCGATTTTCCTCGTTAATATTGCGGTCCAAGCTATCACCTCGGTTGGGACTGCCAAGTTCGAAAAATCCAGAGATGAACAAAGCCACTAAAAGGTCACATAAGCAGAAATGCATATTTCCAGTTTTCAGTATGTAGCACAAACCTCCGACCAATAACAAATCGCACGACCACTCCTCTTTCTTCAAGTTTTGACAAAGCATCAACTGTCAGGGAAAAGAAAATATAGATGTATCAGATCCACCAGCAATACCAGACATTTTAAAAGGAAAATGTCCAGATTTGCCTTTGTACTATTTGGAATTGCTCAAATTTGCCCTCCATTACACTTTTGGTCCATTATACCCTAGTCGTTAGCAAATCATATTTCTTTGGCCTTGTCATTAAGGGAGCTCCAGCATGAAATGGGTAGACTCCACGTGTCCAAATTCTTTGAGAAAAAATTTCCAAATTACCCCTCAACATTTGACTAAGGTTTAAAAAGAACCTCACATTGGAGCTTCTGTAGAGGTCAAGGTAAAAAATGAGATAATTACCCAAGAGGGGGGATAAATACAGACAAAGTTGCTCAATTTTAGCGCTTGTATAAAGAAAAATTTGACCCTTTCCCCTTTTTATAATTGATCCAGTAGCATGAGAAACTTGTGAGTATAGGTAGAAAATGGGTGGGTTAGACTGAATTTGGGCAGGCCAAGATAGGCTGAGTTAAAAAATGGGCGGGCAATTGATCCGCCCAAAAGTTACTTGAGCTGAATGGGCTAAAATGCAGGTCAAAACCCAACTCGCCCAATTCGTACCAAGTTTTAATTGCTTTTTTTAAAAAAATTTAGTATCTAATAAAAAATATTATGGCTATATATACTACAACAACAACATACTCAATATAGTCCCACAAAGTGGGGTCTGGGGAGGGTAGAGTGTATGCAGACTTTAGCTTTACCTCAGAGGTAGACAGATTGTTTCCGATACACCCTCAGCTCTATGGCTATATATAACATATCAAATAAAAAATGTCTTTTAAAAAATATTTTGACAAGATTTCCCATGGATCAATTTGGGCTAGATATCAACCCAAATTTTGATGGGTTGAAATAGGTTCGGTTGAGCTAATAAATGAGCGGTTATGATTTCATGGACTAATTTTGCCACCTCTACTTTTGAGCAACCAAAGTCGTGACTCCAAACTAAGTTTCAACATTAAAGAAAATAAACACAATCAATGATATTTTTAGAATCATTAGTTATTGCAGTCAGCTCAAAAGAAACTATGCCCCAATTTTAGCTAATCCAAATGTTTCTAGCTCAAAATTTACTTGCATCAGTTAGGCCAATAACTCTATCTGTCATTAAAAACGAAAAGCAAGAATTGCAAAAAGTTTATGAGTGTTGAAGCAAAAAGCTAGATGTGAAGCATACACTTCTTTGAAGTGGACCGCTCAATTTACGGGAAATTAAAAAATACTAAACATTTAGGTATTCAGTACAATAGTTATTAAACTTCCCTTCAAGTAAAATAACTAATTTCACCATCGCATATACAACATTTTCCAAGTTAACCCAACGGCTCAAAGTTGAGATCCAAAGAAGTGACTTTGAGTGTAATTGTTGAAGCGCACAACTTCACTCAAGAAACGATAAACCATCATTTCGCATCTTGCCTCGCTTTAAGCAACAAAGCAATTGCTTTTAATAACATTGATATATCGTGATATCAGGTCATCTACAAAGATAAAAGAGATGAAAAAAAAACATTTCCATCTTCATGGGGCCAGTCAAACCATCTTCCATTACTTATCAAAAGGCATTATTCAAAGGCTCTATTTATTACTCCTTACGGGAGTGTGCCTAGTCAATATTGGGCGAGTATAAATAGATGGAGGGAGTAATTAATAACCTCTTGGGAATTGAAAAGTTCATTTATTTTGGACAACAGGGAGTTCTATTAATTTGGAATGGAAGGAGTAGCTTAAACTATCCTATTAACTTGACTGTTTGAGCTACTTTTGCAGTTTTATGTACTATCAAAAGTTTGATGTGCTTTCTCTCACATATTATATTGTTTAATAAACTCTACAAAATAGCGGTAGAATGAAGTATTGTAATATTTGGTGAACCTATTAAAATAATTTATAATCTGGTGCAAAACATCACTTTGAAGCTAAGATTAAAAAAAAATTCTTATTCAAAAAATGTTATTCAGGATTGGAAGCACTTTGAAGATAATTTTTCCATAATCTTATGGTATATGTATAATGTTTTATATTACTTTTACCCTATAAGTTATCAGATTTATTAAAATTATAGTTTTGTGTGAAACAATATTATCCTCTTACATAATCTATATTTATATGTTAAAAAGGCTAAATGCGAAAAAATGTTATCCGACATTCTGACCTTATAAATATAGATTTCATATTGCATGAATTGTCATTTAACTATCTTCTTAAAATTTAAGTCAGTTGAAACAAAGAAAATCAGGAGCTCTCGATGACTATAAAATCACATCAAGGATCCCCTACCCAAGTTATCAACCAAACTTTTCTGCTCAATGAGCTCTACATTCTCCAATTGCCCATAGTGCTCACAAAAGCTATTTTTCTAATCCTGTTGTATATAAATTATCCTTATTTATTGTACATCAAGTTTATATTGTAATGGTATTTATATATGTGCAAAGGTGTACCATAAGACTAGTCATCCATCAATGATGGCATATCATTGTATTTGAACATATGTTTTAGGGAAAAAAAATCCATGCCCAAAGCAAAGTGAATATAGAGACTGACCATTTGGAAACCAAGACCCTCTGATCACATTTCTCCTCAATCGACCTCCAAATCCCGTATAAATTCCTATAACAGCCAGAAGTTGTTTGCCTGAAGACGAACCACTCTGTTTCAACTGATTCTGGAGGTAACCTTGACTCTTAGCCACTGTTAATTCCATTTCAACTTCAACTATTCTCCTCTCCAGGTCCCTGGAAAACATACAGGATGCCTAAGTCAGCTCAAGCAATGGTCTGCACATGCTTGTATATGGCTATATGCACTTATATTAAGACAAAGAACAGAGGAATCTGAAAATTTTACTTGCATCCTAAAACCATTAGCTTGTCTTCCACTGTCAGCATCTTTGGTCTCTGCCATATGAATACAAAAAGCAATATTTAGAAGAAATAACCAGGCAAAAGAAGTAGCTAAATAAGTAAGATCAGGTGCTTTAAAGCACATAACTGTTGAAGCCAACACCATTAGAAAATGCGAACAACATCAGCATTAGCAATTTAAAAGCAGCAAATAATAATTTGCAAACTAGTGTTTTAGATGACGAAAGGCAACAAAAGGCGACACGGATCTGCCTCGCCACAAGGCAAGGCGCTCGCCTTTTTGAAGTGCGGCGCTAATTAATACCAAAAAATTAAAATATTTAATGACATATATAAATAACCAAAATCTCAAAATATTTCAATTCAAAAATGGAAAATAGATAGTACATACTAAAAGTCTAGAACTTGAATGAGAAAAAACATAACAAGAGTCAAAATAGTGAGAAAAAAACAGAGATAGAAGTAGCTTTGAAGTCTGAAGAAGAAGAAGAGGAAGGAAAAAGAAACAGAGGAAGAAGAGGAAGAAGAAATCTGAAGAAGAAAAAACGAAATACGTATTGGTTAAGTTTCCATTTTTGCAAAATAGGAGGATCGGCAAACATCTCAATTATGAAATTTCTTTTGAAATCGATTTTTTCAATATTCAATATTTATATTGAAAACAGTGTATCCAACAAATAGAATTCATTGTGATAAATGAAGTGGATCTATTTCGTTTTCTTTCTATTGATTGAGACCTAGCCTCTCTCCTTTGGTTCGTAGCCTTGGGTTATACACTTTTCCTTAAGGCAAAGGTTTTGCCCACTTCAAGTCATCAGAAAAGGCTGTTTGGTTGCCGGAGAAGTTTAGTCGCAGTGCAACTATGCAAATTTGGAAAAAAAAACCCTAAAATTACCTTTTAACTTTTAAAATCCTAAATTGGTCGCCTTGTTTTAAGAAACTACTAAAGGTGACACCTTTCTCGCCTCTCCCCTTTGTTGCCATTGTCGCCATGGCGTTGCCTTTGAAGATCGCCTCGCCACAAAGGTAAAAGGCGATGAAGGGTTGCCTCGCCTCTCTCCATTCGCCTTTCACAACACTGGTATAAATCTATTCATGGCACTATTATATGTTTCAAAGATCCAATCTTCAAGCCACTGCTTAGACCATTAGTAATTCATGAACATGCAAGGAAAAACTTCTACCATCTAGAGAACACTACCCTTTACCGGAGTTAATCTGATAGCCCATCTAAAAGATGATGAGAAAAAACAAATCATTGCAGTAATCCTATATTATATAGATCAAATGGGCTGCTACCATTAGGATCATTTCATTTTCCCTTAATAAGTCCCATCAATATATAATCCATAGTGTAACCTCCAGAGCATTTCCAAATACAGTAACAATTGGGTCTTCCCTATCATCGAGACACCACAATAGCACTTCACAGTACTCGAAGACTTCCCTTCCCCAAGAAAATTCATTCTAAGAAATTAGAAAATACTCCATGGTGTCCTGATTTATATAAAACTATTCCTCTCTCACTTCCAGTTTATCTGACCCTATTATCCTTTAAGTCGGTTCCAAAAAAATGACCTAGTTCAAAATTCAAAAAAAATAATTAATTAATTCCTTTTTTCCCCTTAATTACAAGCTTTTATAACCACACAAATGTTTTGACATGTTTAAAATTTAGAAAAATCAAGTAAAATCTGTGGGAATCAGGTGATATAGATTCGTCTGAATATAGAAAAAAAACCTGCTGTGAATTCTTCTTGAAAAGAGTAGCTAATAACACTCTGTTCTCTGCATCTTGCCATAACCTAAAAACAATAATCCCAACAGATTATTAAACTTTATAGGTAGTAGCCATTAATCAAAGCATTGAAGAGTGTGACTGCACATAAAAAAAATGTACCTTCCGGCGACATATAACCAAGCGAAGCAGGAAATTAACGCCATTACAAGTGAAGGTTTAGATGATGTTTGAGTAGATTTTGATTTTGATCGCCTATCTGATTTTGACGAAGAAGAAGAAGAAGAGAACGATGTCGTCGGCAAGATGCTCTCCATGTTTTCCCTAACTGGACAAGAGATCAAATTTGGAATGAGAGCATTCCTCGATTCACAAAGTAAATATGGAGATCAATTGCTTCAAAAATGAGTTTTCTAACACAGCGCCAGCGGTTGTTTGCCAATTAAGATAAATTTTGAGGTCCTCTATTTTCATATTCACTTTTACTTTGCCCCTCAATTCCTTCCTGGTTGGCACTTGGCAGATTCTTCACCTTATTTACTTTGCCCCCTTAATTCCTCCTTATTGGCACTTGGTACATGTTAGATCAAATTAGTATTTGTTTGATTTTTATATCACAATTGGTGTTGATGATGACTAAAGATGGTGATAGTGCGTGGCAATTTGGATTGGTATTGACTGATGATGGTGGTTGATGTTGGTAGCGGTTGATAATTACTAGTGGAATGATTTGAATAGCTAATGGTGGCGGTGACTGATTGGCAGTTACCGATATATAACTGTGTCTAATGGTCTAATGGTGGTAATTATCGATATTGATTAGTGGATGTAATAATGGTTGGTGGTCATGATTGCAAACTATAGTTAATTGTGATGACGATTAGTGATTGACAGTTGTGGTTGGACTGAGGATAGTGGTTGTGGACAATAGGTGGTTATGGATAGTAGGTGGTGGTGATTGACGGTGATGGTAATTGCTGAAATGGTGATTGTGGGTGGTGGATGAAAGTAGTGGAGTAGTGGTGAACTGACATCTTTGTAGAAATTCTAAAATAGGCATTTTAATGATATTAAGACTTTGTTATAGATCTTAACCGTTCAAATATATTCAGACTCGTTAAGTGATTGTAAAATGAGAAAAACAAATGCACTTAATGATTAAGATTCAGACTTTGAAAACAAATAGACTTAATGACTTAGATATAAATGATTAAACTTAAGACCATCATTAATTGCAAACAAATAAGGCATTAATTGGGAGCTATTTTTGTGTGTCCAAAACTTTGGCAGTTTTAAGAAAATGAGTGTGTGTATGAAATAATAATAATAAAATACCAAGATAACAAGATATATAGTCAAAGAAGTTGTAGGGGTCAAAATTACCCCTATACTTTTATTCATTAATTAAAGGGAAAAGGGTCAAAAATACCCGTCAACTTTGTTTTATTAGTTGACTATGTCCTTATCATTAAAATGAAGCTATTCTTACCCCTGCCATTACTAATTTCATCATGTGTGCCCCTCAATTGGATGGAAAACCTCAAATCAACTAAACTTACCCAATTTTACTTAAATTACCCAATTTAAACCTAATCCGACCCACTTAATCATATAACACATTTCTTTTACCCAAATCAACTTTGTTTTCCACCACCAGCACCTCCACTTAAATCACCATCGTCGCCAAAACCACCACCTCTCACATTACTCAATTTAACCCAATCTGACCCACTTAATCTTATAACCCATTTCTTTTATCCAAATCAATTTTGTTTTCCACCACCAACACCTCCACTTAAAACACCACTAAAACCACCACCCTCTCTAAGATCTCCTCCACCACCGTGTCCAAAACCACCACCTCTCCCATTACTCTACCTCCTCCAAGTCAGCAACCTACCATCACATCTCCCACTACTCTACTCTATGAGGTTTGTGGCTGGTGAAGTTGTCACACACAATAAGCAACATTGAAAAGTCTATGCACAAAGTCTTGTTTCCCATGTCCCACTCTACTAGTCCACTCTTTGTTAGCATTATAAGCATAAATCTTGAAGTGACTAAACTAAGAAAATAAAGCTAAAAGGACCCTCAACAACGACATCCATGTAGCCACCAATCTTATAAACATTGTCCATGAACCTTCTTTGTACCTCGTAGGAAAATCAAATGAAAGATAACTTATTGCTTGTAACATAATAAATGTACGAACGCGATGGGAGGGAATTTGGTTCATCATCATCCATGGATGCAAATAATTATAGTGCAAATATGTTTGATGGAAATTTTACACCAGTATTAGACTCACCTGATAGTGATGATTTCTCAAATAACTTGATTAACGTTGAGCTTTCTAATATTTTTGAGATATATAATTGGCCCGTTCAACAAGTTGATCCAACGCTTGTACCTCATTACTCAAATTATGCAACAAATCAAGTGGTTAACATCAGGAGTAGAGTAGTGGGAGAGGTGATGGTAGGCTGGTGACTTGGAGGAGGTAGAGTAGTGGGAGAGGTGGTGGTTTCGGCGACGGTGGTGGAGGAGATCTTAGAGAGGGTGGTGGTTTTAGTGGTGTTTTAAGTGGAGGTGTTGGTGGTGGAAAACAAAATTGATTTGGGTAAAAGAAATGGGTTATAAGATTAAGTGGGTCGGATTGGATTAAATTGAGTAACTTTAGTTGATTTGGAGTTTTCCATCCAATTGAGGGGCACAAATGATGAAATTAGTAATGGCATGGGTAAGAATAACTTCATTTTAACGGTAAGGGCATAGTCAACCAATAAAACAAAGTTGGAGGTATTTTTGACTCTTTTTCCCTTAATTAAATGTGTCCTTGTTATACTATTTGGCTAATTATATTCTCATTATTACTCACTTGAATTAGATGGTTCCCTCCAAATTGATCTAAATTATCCATTTTCCTTTAAAATTAACAATTTATCTAGATACCTCTTTTAATCATATCCTCCTAACTAAAATAACACATGCCAAATATACTCAAATAGTCATTCTTTCTTCTCTTTCCCACTTTTGCCACCAACAGTAATAGGGAGACAAAAAAAGGAAGGTAGAGAGTTTGAATCTAACTTGGTTGATGGAGAACGATATATTAAGGAAGAAACAAGAGCTACTCTACTACTGTGTTGAAATAGAAGATCTTGCTCGTAAAATTACTTTAGATTCTGACTGCGTTCACCTTTATTTTTCAATTCTTCTTCACGTGAATTGGTGGAGCTTGATCTTGGACTCAAAATTTTGTAAGTCATGTTGGGTAAAAAATATCCCTCGTTATTAGTTAAATTTTTTGTCTTTTCCTTGTGTGCAGTTTTTTAATTATCTAAGTTGTAAGTCACGCAGGAAAAATGTTTAATTTTCTTAGCTAAGTTGAAGATGATGGTAGCGGCAGTCGACGACTCTATGGTCTTATTCACACCATTAGTCGAATAAGTAGATAATGGAGAATTGATGGTACTCCAACCTGATATAAGAGGATCCACGCCTAGTTATTTTTATTTCTACTCAGAAGTGATAGGTGTCTTAGAGTGGCTCACCTTTTGGCCAAAAATCTTAATGGAGAAAGCATCACAAGAACTGAAATATTGGCATCATCATCGTTGGTCTTTGAAGCTTTATTTTTATTTTTCTTTTACTTGTATTTTTTTCTCTATATTTTTTTATATTTTCATAGCAGGTTGATTGAAACTTGAAAAGGTGAAGGAGGTGAAGAAGAAGGAGATAATTGGAACAAAAAAATGGGAAATTGATTAAGTTGGATGTGTTAGGTCGACATGTCATGGGTTAAGTCGGGTTAAAAGAGAAATCAAATAATTTTGATCACTTTAGGGAAATTGTTAATTTAGAGGGTATATGTGATAAGTTTTGTAATGGTGGGGCATAAATAGTCAAATTGTATAGCAAAGGATAAACTTAGGTAATAAATGTAAGTAGATGGGTATTTTTTTACACTTTTTCCTATGTTTTATTATTCTTCAAATTGATGTACAAATGAACTTAATTGACTTTATATTATAGAAGAACTGAAGCTGCTCTATAAGAAACTTATAAGCTACTGGAAGGAAAGTTGCTTGCAAAGCTACTCGTAAGATACTTATAGGAACCTGCTTGTAAAGATTCTTGCAAGTTGCTTGTAGGAACCTACCTGCAAAGTTACCTATAAGCTTATTTAGGAAGTTGTAGGAGTACCGAATGGACATTCATAATATAATATATTTATAACACTTCTTCTTTGATATTCATTGATAAATAATGTGTCTCGTTAAAATCTTACTAGAAAAAATCTTAGTAAAAATAAAAACCTAATGAAGAAAACAAAGTGTGCATATCTAATATTATGTATTTGTTAGATGTCTCATAAAATACATTATCGTGAAAATCCAATGGAAAAAACATTTGTTAAAGAAAAAAGAATACAACACATATTTTACTTCCTCTGGTGAAGACCATGATTTAGTTGTCTAAGTTTTTGCATTTTTGTCACGGTTCAAAAATCAAGGTCATGATGACACACACAAAAACCATCCCGATGTGTAAGCCAAAGAATTTAACTCATGTGGTATAAGAAACCACACATACAAGACTCCTAGAGTGGAGTCAGACCACAAATGAAGAAAGAAAAAGACAACAAGATAATTCTCAAAACTTGGTATCATAAGCATAAAGAGCATCTACTATGTCACTAGAATCTGAAGTATATCTCAAGTCTTTGAAACAAAAATAAAAATTGTAAATAATAGATGGAGTCTAATGGCGATCCAAAAAGCAGTATCTCACCACGACTCCAAATAGACTAAACCAGCTAGATCTGATCAACAACCATGAAAAACACTCTGACTAGGATCTGCATCAAAAAGTTAACAGAAGTAGGGATGAGTACAATTTACATATACTCAGTAGGCTTGGTGACTGGGTACAAAGTAATTAATCAAATTTAAAAAATAAACTACGAAACGCTTCCACCTGCATACATAAAAACCTCATTCTGACATCAGTGCTACCATTTTATATAAGAACCATACGAGTAAAGTAAACACATAGGACTACAAACAGTTTCTTATATCAACAGGCAAATTACACAACAAACAAAGCTGGACAATGATATGCAATGCAATGATGAAATGATGCGATGGAACCAAGACTGTCGTATACACCTTACTGAGCTTTAGCTTCAAGAAAAGGAACCATGGATGATTCGTAGTCTATATACCAATCTCATGATTTAAATATCTCATCAACTTGCGACCTAGCTTGTGGTCAAATATACACAAGGTGTCTCATTTTCTTTCTCAAAATACTACTTCCATAGTTTCTTAGATTTCCATGAACATTAGTATGATGAATGTGGATGAATACATCACAACACATG